TGATCTTTGTATACGATTATAATTCTTATGATCCCTACACCACACTGTAGATGCATGGACACGTCCAGATGTGAAAATTGGGCACATGGTTCTTAAATTTATCCTTGAAATCCTGGCGAATGAGGAAAGCATGTCCTTTTACTTGCCCAAGGAAGCAGTGATCGTAACTAACTGTTTTCTGCATTTCCAGGTAACACGGCTCTCGTATATCACCATGGGAAGCTTCTAGCTCTTTCAGAGGCAGATAAACCTTGTAAGCAGAACTCACCCATTTTCTTGCATCTACTTTTCAATTTCAATCTATTCGAGAATCTATTGGGATGAAAAGATTACTTGTTCTTGGACTGCACAACTTCTTTTGATGCCATATAGATGTATGGTTTTTGCGGTTGAGAAAAAGAAAAGGTTGAAATGGCAACCTTTTATTGCCTCCTATATCTTTTGCGGGACGAAGACATATTGGTACTTTTTTCTGTTTCTAGAGCGGAACTGAAATTACTTATGTTGCATTGGCAATGAAATAGGAACAATTTGTGTTGCCTGTATATCTTTGTGCGACTCAAACATATTGGTACTCTTGTTTATTCCTAGTTTGTAAACGGAATTGTTTATTTTGCATTATGCAGATGTCCTCAAAGTTTTGGAAGATGGAGATCTGCAAACAGTTGGCTTGCTGGATTATGACAAGAGACTGACACATTCCTTCACTGCTCATCCAAAGGTTGACCCAGTCACTGGTAAGTACATTCTCATAAAAAGGTACTTATTCGGCCTTATAAGGAAATTTTCCTGTCAACTTATGAAGTACATAATGCAGGTGAGATGTTTACCTTTGGCTACTCACATACACCGCCATATGTCACTTATAGAGTTATTTCGAAGGATGGTTTCATGCATGACCCTATACCGATAACAATAGCAGACCCCGTCATGATGCATGATTTTGCAATTACTGAGAACTATGCAATTTTCATGGATCTCCCCCTGATCTTCAAACCAAAGGTATGAAATTATTTTCAACCAGTTATAGAACACCCGCTATATAAATGGTTAATTTTACCATAAAGTATGAGACACTTACCGACCAAGTATTCTCCAACCAGTCACAGGCAAAGAAAAAGAGGTTGGAGTGGCAAATAAGGAGGAGCAATTCTTGGTTTTCTATGCATTCTTGGTTTTAGATCAACATTACGTAATATGGTACTGTGTTCGAGTGTGTTGTTCCTCGGATTTGGGTTTCATACATATAAGTCTGCAATGGTTCACGGACATTGAGTGGCATTATCCACTTCCATTCCACTGAAGTTTTAGATCAATGGATAACTTAACAATAATTATTGAGCATTAAACAATCACATTATAATGAAATTGAACATGTTATTATTTTTCATTTTTTCAGGAAATGGTGAAGGAAAAAAAGTTTATATTCACATTTGATCAAACAAAAATAGCTCGCTTTGGTTTACTTCCACGGTATGCAAAGAATGAGTCGTTAATCAGATGGTTCGAGCTTCCAAATTGCTTCATTTTCCATAATGGTGAGCGTGTTTGCTTCCAATCTTAGTGCAAGAAAACAGTGTCTTTGAAACAAGTATTTGTTTTTCAATCAGTTAAATATATATTAAAAATACCTGCATGCTATTAAAATTTAATTGGTGAAGCACAGCAGACACTCTTAAATAAGTTCCTATGCTTTATCCTTCTTTTGAGGCATTACTACGAATTATCGTCTGAGGAGCCCGATCACTTTCTGCTAAAAAATGTTGCGACTTTTAATCCTTTTTTCTGAAAATCTTAAATTTGTTTATGGTGATATCTATTGAGCTCTGTATCCTTGCTGCTTTGGCAGTTCTTTTTCCTTGCTACTTGCAGTTGGGTTCAAACCAATATGCTCTTGGTAGTTTTATGCCTACCAGCTCTTTCTTATGCATACCGCCTGTCTGATTCAGGCCGCAAAAATCCTACCAGCTACCTATAACTTTTATTATTTTTCTTTCTATTCCATTGATCTTTTTGTTGCTTCAGTTTTTCTTCTTGGTTTCACAGAGTAGTACTGATCTAACTCCCAGTTGCAGATTATCCTTGAATTCCTCTATCTAAAGTTTCAGACCTTCTGAACTTATCAAGGCTTACGGAAGTTATTTTAGCCCCCTTTGATTAAGTTCTATTTTGTCTTCATCACTGACTCACATCAAATGCTGACTAGGAGGGAATTGTTCTTCTCCGATTCCTGTCTACTGAAGAATTACTGATCAACCATTACGTCTGTTATTCTTTTTGGTAAATTTTACTTTAATATTTAGGACCTTTCTGGATTAACCAATATGCCGAAATTCTGGTTTATACTTGACTGACTTGGAAGATTAGTTGATATAGCACAATTGTAACTCCGTGTTGATTTCTGCAAATCATAATTTGTAGATTCACCAGTCTGCAAAGTGGTTGCCCGTCTGTTCATGTACTGTGAAATGGTTGTGTGTGTTAGTCCCGTTCAGTCCCGGAACTTAACCAACTAATGACAGGATATTTGTTCAAATGTGTAACTTATAGTTAATGTCGATTGTTTCAACAATTAATATCTATGATCTTGCATGGTTTGTGAGTAAGCCATGCTTAAAGTTTTTTCTTGTCTAAATTCTGAAGGCTTGCCATTTTTTTTTCTCCTTTTATGTAGCTAATGCTTGGGAGGAGGGGGACGAAGTTGTTTTAATCACATGCCGGCTTGATAATCTTGATTTGGACATGGTCAATGGGTCTGTCAAAGAAAAGCTTGAAAACTTCAAAAATGAGCTGTAAGAGATTTTGACAGATGTTGCTAACTTGATTTCTTGAGAGATGGTGCTTCTGACTGTTTTAATTATTTGCAGGTACGAGATGAGATTCAACTTGAAAACTGGTCTAGCATCCCAAAAGAAGCTATCAGAATCGGCTGTAGATTTTCCCAGGGTGAATGAGAGCTACACCGGCAGGTATGCATATTCCTTTCCCTGGGAGCTGCCTAATGTTCTTTTAGGGCATGTTCGATAATCATTTTGCTTTTAGTTTTTAGTTTTCACTTTTAGTGCTTAAGGTATGGGAAAAGTATATGAGGGAAAGGAGAGATGAAGAAGGATGGTTGGAGGGAGCTGAAGAAACAAAGAAGAATGAACAAAAACAAAGTCTTGAAATTGTTTTTGTTTTTTTATTTTTAGTTTTCATTGTGTACTTTTCTTTATACATCTCTCCTGCCATCCTTCTTCCGCTCTTCTATATCCCTAATTTCTCTCACATATTTCTCCTCTACCTCTAGCTCAAAAAAATAAAATAAAATAAAATAAAATAAAAAACACTAAAAGCGAAATTGTTATCAAATGGGCCTTTAGCTATCATGCTCTCTCTCTCTCTCTCTCTCTCTCTCTCTCTATTGTGGCACGGCACCTTATCTTTGCTTTTGCCATTTGGTACCGTTACCATCATTTTCGAAAGCTACTGTAACATTCGTGTTTACTTATTTTGATCAACTAACTTATGTGAAATCAGGAAGCAGCGTTATGTGTACGGAACCTTACTGGACAGCATTGCCAAGGTTACAGGGGTAGCCAAGTTTGATCTGCATGCTGAACCAGAGGTCGGAAAAACACAAATTGAGGTTGGAGGAAATGTCCAAGGCCTCTATGACCTGGGACCTGGCAGATTTGGTTCTGAGGCTATTTTTGTCCCTCGTATTCCTGGCGTTACTTCTGAAGAAGATGATGGCTACTTAATACTCTTTGTTCATGACGAGAACACTGGGTATTATTCATTTCCCTGACTTTTTTTTTTTTTTCCGCCGAATATCTCTTACACTGTTAATTAAGTTATAGACTTACGGTTTCCAACATCTATCTCTTGTTTAATATAATGGCGTGTCCTCAGTTTTGGGAAAGTCAAAGTGCTTTATTCCTTATAAACCAAATCATTAGTTTCTTTATAGTTCTCTCTGCTCATGCTTTTGAAGCTGAGTAAACCGGTGTTACCAGCAGTTATGCAGTGACGTGTATGTGAAGTTCAATCTTCTCTGAGGACAGGACTGCAATCTAAACTTGCATTTTAATCATGCAGAAAATCAGCAATTCATGTAGTTGATGCAAAGACAATGTCATCAGAGCCTGTTGCAGTTGTGGAATTGCCACACAGAGTTCCTTACGGTTTCCATGCCTTCTTCGTGACAGAGGTCAGCGCCACTTCAGTTGTTCCAAAGATGCACTTTAATCTTTACTTCATTCTGCATCAATGCACTTAATTCACACACAGATTGGGATGCAGATCAGTTTTATTTGATTTAATTTGACTCAAAACCGCCTTCTTATGTTTCTTTCTCCTACTCTAGTATTCCTTTTCTTGGTAGCGCGCTTCTGATCTAAATTATGGTTTCTTGAACAGGAGCAATTGCAAGAACAAGCAAAGCTCTAATTGTTCATCATTGGAAGAACCTACAAGTGAAGGCACGCCAGCGTCAACTGAACCTGTTGTCGTGTAGGCAGTCTACTCCACATCTACACCAATAAATAATGTATACACCTCTGTATTTAAACTACCGGATGGTGTTTTAATTACTTTGAACCAAAAGAATCAGTGGGTTACATAGCAATACCTATACCATCTTAATTATGTTGATTACATACTTGGAAGCATTTTCCTTTTCTCATTCGCATAGGGTTCCTTTTTTTCTGGAGGACGGAATTGGTATTATATTAGATGAGGGAGAATTAAGAAAAGTGATTGGAGAACTATAACTCTACCGCACCTAAAATAACACCAACTCCGTCCTCTGTCAGTTTTAATGATTGCAATGTCGATGGCAGTCGAATTTGTTAGCAACATGTTTAAGTGATTAATTTGAGTCTCTCCTCTTGTGATTGTTGCTTACAACTCTTAATTATCCACCTCTTGTTGTATACGCATCTCTTTTTTACCGTATTAAAAGAGGGTATACAACAAGAGATGGCAAAAAGCCTAAAAGGGTACCAAGTCTTCATAAATGAGGAAAAATCGTGGGTTATCTATAGATGTGAAGGGTCTATTCAATTACATTACAAAAGTTGCAAGGCGTTTGAATATAAGTTGAAAATTAATTGTGGTTACATTGGCTTTCTCTTTTGTGGAGCTCTCTGCAATTTCCTCCACTTGTGGTGTATATGATACGACAGCCCGGAAAATACCATGACAACTGATCCCCATTGCTTCGTTGACAGGGATTGCCGCTCAGCACCGAAGACACCACGATGCTTACAAACTTGCGGGTTGTGGTAATGGTGGTGTTAGCTAAGGAACCAAATCGACTTATGGTTAGGAAAATGAAGTTCTGTCCAACAGCACCACACAGACAATAGCGAAAAATGTCCCAAGCCGCTTCTGGATGCTGCTTGCAGAATTGTACTGCCTCAAATCCGCTGCCACGAGGCCAGCCAAACATGTAGATCATGTTGTATATGGTACCCCACAAATTCATGCCTAACATTATGTCCCAAGCGCTCGTCTTTGGATACCTAAGCAAAATCAAAAGCCATAACATTTAAGACTGAACCGTATATCGTTTCACATGTATAGATGGATTGACATCTTTCATAAATTTTATTCCTATCAGCACAAATTCCCTCCAGCGAACTTAAAGTCCAAGCTGATTTTCATACACAGTCAACAACAGACAATTTGGGGTGGGATTTGCAAAATGTTGACAAGTGGTTTAAATAATGTTAAGATTCCTGTGAGTGAATAGCAGAAAATCAACCAGTATTTAAATGGTAGAAAAAGGATGATGATTTTCTGAAGTATACCTCGCAGTTATTGAGTCCTGGGTAGCATTTGTGAATCCATCAAAAGCGAGGTTGAGGAAACATAGTCCATATCCAAGAGGCGCATTTGGGTGTGCCAACTTGCTAATAGTCTTTGAACTAGTCTGAAATCGACCCAAACGGAATAACATAAGAAAAGCAACAAAATAAGTATGGGTAGCATGAAATTTATCAAGTACAATTTATAAGGAAAATTGAAAGACAAAAGATAAGAATTATTTCATTCTTGTTTCATTCTCAATAAGCACACACGCCCACACCATCCCTCACCTTCAAGAGTGCAAATATGGATACTCCTCCGGCGACAAGAAGAGTACAAACATATTCAGGAAAGCTGTATCTTTTGCCGTAGACTAGAGTACCCATCAGCATCACTGCATACATGTAAAAACCATATATCGTCCCCATTACAATAATATGCTTCCTTTTTCTTATTGAAATTCAAAGGCAATCTAATCAGTATGATAGTTCACAATCTTAATTGAACTTATATGAGTAACATTCTTGCATATGTAAGATACGGAAAATAATGGTAAATAATGACCTGGAATCATTTTTGAGGACTTTGCCAAGACCTGCAAGTAGAAGAAAAAAAAACAGCTTTAATATTCGAAAACTATAGATCCATTATTTGGAATTTACTCCAAAAGTATAAATAAAAAACGAAACTTTTCACGAAAATCTATTCTTATCATCCCTTAAACAACCAATTCAACATCCTATCAAACTCAACTAAGAATTTATCCAAAAAATAATAATGTTATTGGCTGCATGGAAGTTCGGCTAATGGGTCCTTAAACATTTTTTTTTTGCCAATGAAGTTTATCCAGAGGAAATCAAACTACTCCATTACATCTATGACAATCGTAAGTTTCCTAGCTCACTAGACCGGTAAGAAAATCTGATCCAGTTAACTAGAACTAAGCACATAATCATCAATTCTTCCTATGACCATAAGTTCATAACCATATTCTCTAATGCTGCCCATTTGAGTTACAGGTACATGATCAAATCGAAAATTGGAACGCAAACCTGAGCCGGGTAACTGATGTACTTCAACGCTTCGATCCCCATAGCGGGTCCAATCGTATTAGTAATCCCTGCACTCCAGAACGTCCACATAGGAGCGCCTCCAGTATTGCTGCTAGAACAAAGCTTTATCACTGTTCAAAAGAACCAAATAGACAATATTACCATCCTCCCAATTGCATTTTTCAGCTCAAATCAATCAACATTACAAGAAATTCAAGGTTTTCAGAGAAAGATTGAAGCTTACTTATATACGACCAGATTAGACAGACCACATTCTGAGCCAAGTTCAAGACTGCAAGGTGTTCGAACCTATGTCCATCTCGCCCGAATCGCTTCGTGGACCTAAAACCAAAGATCAAGACATCACCAATTTCGATTAATGTCGACAACCAAGTCTGCAAATTTCGAAGACGATTTAAGGAGCTGAAGAATCCCAAAAGGGGGGTGCGCGATCTGGGAAATTCCCAAGTGCAGAGAAAGAGAAGACTTACAGAGTCTCCTGAAGAACGCCTTGGTAAATATACGCAGCCCAAATTCCGACGACACAGAAGCCGAACACCAACACGCGCCGCAGCCCCGACCCGTGAGCTTCCATTTCAGCCCACCAAATCCCCTGCCGCAATCACTTCAATCGCAGTTGCTATAATGAACTGGATGGCGAAGTTGCGTAACAAATTTTTTATTTTTATTTTTTTGAATTTTAAATAGGGCTGTTATTATTGGTTGTCTCTGAGATTTACTTTAAAACAGTAAAAGTTGTTAATCTAGTTTTTTTTTTTTTTTTTTAACAAATGTGTTCATGTAATTATTGAATAGTATATAATTTTTATTTAAAAAAATAATGAAAAATATTTAAAAATTTTAAATTTTAACAATAAGGTCAAAATAAAAACAGGAAAATATTGAAATAAAAAACTAAAAGACCTCAAACAAAAATGATTCAATTTTTTAAGAAACCAAAATATCTAACATTTAAGCATTACCATTGAAGAAAAAATTTGAGGAAAAAAAAAGAAGAAAGAAAGAAAATCCCTCAGGAAAGCCTGGTTTCAACCTGGAGAGCATGAAAGGAGTAAAAGAGTGGGCTCCTCAACCTCTCTGCAGAAAGGGAGCACCAGCCATTCTTTTTTATTCAAATTGCATGCATCCTCCTCAGATTACTAAATCTTTCATCATTGGGACATTTCCGTGTGCGATTATTATCCTTAAACCAGACAACTTCATTCGAAACGTCGAAAGACACAAAGCTTTTACAGACAGAAACATGGTTTTCGAGAGACAGAGAGACATAGAGGCGGAGGGAGGCTTTACATTACAATGGTGTTCATGTTAGGGTTTTTGTTCTGGTTGGACTTGGGCTCACGTGCTCCAATGCATTGGAGATCCTTCACTTTGGGCTGGCATTTATTAAGATTTAGATCGTACGAGCGTTTTAGCATTTAAATTTGAATTTTCACAACCATTAAATTTTTTATTCAATACTATGTACCATTAAAAATTTTCCAAGAATTTACGTTTTCAATATTTTTGAATAAATTATATCAGACCAATGTATCTATTATCTTGCACCAAGTTTGAGTTGTTTGACCTTTTATATTTCTGTAAATCAGAATAGTTTGAAATATCACTCTATAAAATAGAAAGCTCTACTTAATTTACTCACAACACCCATGCTAAAACTAAATTTACTCAAAACACCCCAGCTCCCTCTATTCACAAGTGTGGAAAGTAGTTTGGTTTTGCACAATTAAATACTTAATTAGACAATAATCAAGACCAATACTGCCTAAGTAGTTGGACCCTTGACAAAATCAGATAGTAATCAAGCATAAAATAGAACAATAGCTACACTTAGAAACACAGATCAAATTCTCCCCTCCAGGGATGGGGAAAAGTCTTTTCAAGAGGTACCACAACCCTAAATTTTGTCCGAAACCGAAGTCACTACACACATTCGAAAATCGAAACACAACGGCACTGTTTAGAATCTACACATTCATAACTAATTTTCTGGTTTTAAGTTCCCAACTGATGCCTTTCTTTACTGTTTCTACAACAGGAATGAGTGCACAAGTGATGGCAGTCTGAAGACGACCGCCTATCGACTTGCGCACCACTCCAATAGTTACAGAGTAACCAAAGCCAAGAATGATTTGCCTGATAGAGACATTGCACAGCCGGGTTTCCCCCAAGAGAGACCGTGCACGCCTTGAGCTTCACCTGCAAGATATAAGCCTCTATTTACAAGATGTTGAACAAATAATAACACGGTTTGTCATACAAACTGAAACCTACGCCAGGAGGAGTATCAAACCTCGTAGAGGGATCTCATTTACTGGGGATGGCCCCACGAGATGACCCTTTCAACTGCATGTTTTCCCTGCTGTCACCAAACGCAGAAGGGTATGCTGATGATGGGCCACGATCGGTGCCATTACCATTAGAGCGTGTGTGGTGGTTGTGTGTCCTGAACCATGGACCTGATCCGTCTTGCTGGACATTTGAGGAATCAACATCCGCATTGCTGGTATTTGGAAAGCAATCAAAACCAGATTTGGCGGATTGGCCTGAATGGTTTCCATCCAAATTCATGCCCTTTTCTAACGAGGAATTCTCATTATTGGCATCTTGTTTCTTTGTATTCAGGAAGCGGCCTCCACAGCCCCTTGCTCTCCTTAATGCATGTAGGTGTCGAGACTCGTGAAGATAAGGCTGTACAACGAACATAAAATCATATGTCAATCAAGCCATAAAGGATCAATTACCAAGCAGAAGAATCAAATCAAGTGGCTGTATGAACTTAAGACCTAAAGGAACCACCACGTACCGTCAAGGCTTTACAGCCCAAATCCTAAAGCACGTGCCTGGAGTGACGAAATCTATATACCCACCAATATGTTTCTAAAAAGTAGGCGATAATATGAAAATGGAATGAAAGACATTCATTCAGAGTATCGCTGATATTAGTCTGATATCACCAATTCACATGCATGGACAAATCCACATCTGTGAAAATGAGTCAGATATGATTGCTACGTACCAACATTTACCAATATTTCCACTAATACATCTCCAAATTTACCAGTGTTCTATAGATATTTCTGCATTTCCAACTTCCGGGGCTGTAAATATTATCAAATCAATTGATAATTTATTGAAGGGAGAAGAAGATATTTGTTTGCACCTTAAAGACATTAGATTATTTCCATAAAATCCAGACCACCTACATATTCATTAAACTTCATCATCTTAGATGGTTTCTTGTACCCAACTCCCCATGAATGTAAGAATGGCCACACATATGTGCATGTCTAATGGTAAGAATGGCCACACATATGTGCATGTCTAATGCTACCAAATTCTACTGCAGTTTGAAAGAACGAAAAATTGAAATCATTTACCTTTCGAGCTTTTATAAGTTTCTTTTCAAGCTCAGCTTTAGCACGTGACTGTCTTCGTCTCAAAATACCATGGTACTGCTTTGCATTTACATACACAGGCTCCTCTTCCATATCAAGGGGCAAAAGCATTCTACCAGGATGCATACCATAGAAGTGGGGAGGCAACTGGCATCACACTAAAAACCATCAGACAAGAAACCAGAACTTTTCTCAACATTAAATTCAATGCATTACAAATATACTCATCCTATTGCTTATCCAAGACGAGAAAGTGAAAGTGTTGCATCTATTGTTTGACTACAACAATGAAGACCAAACATGTATATAATAGTACCATACCCGACAGAAAATAACTTAGTATCCAGAGCATCACCTAGTCTTCTAAAGAAAATTGTTCTTTCTGTGGGACTGCAAGTTATCCGACACCATGTTATCATATTGTTACCCAGCGTCCTTTTTCATTCATCCTTTCTCTCTAGTTGAATGGTCTGATTATTATTCGTCACTCAAGACAGTGATGGTTCATTGTCTCTCATTATAATTTATCATCATATATCTACGTTATTAATCGTGGTCCTCACAAGGAAATTGTTTGGTTGCTCCCTAATTGATGATTGGATGTCGGTTTTTCATTGACGAATTTATCAAATTCAGATAGCAGTTTGAGTTCGGTTTAGGCTAGTAGTCTAATCGAACCCTACTGATATGAAAATGTATCTCATTTCCTCCTGCATTCTGAACACATTTAAACAAGCAGTACGGAAATCCTACATTTACGATTAACTGGCATAGATCATTGACGAGTGAAGACTTCCTGCCGACTTAGATACAACTTATGCTACTAAAACAATATCAACAGTTGCGGATTGCATACCACAGCTTGTGGCCCATAAGGAGTCAACATCCCACCATATTGTGGATCTGAATACGGATATGATGACATAACCTGCAAGTTTAATAAACTTCTAAACCTTCTCATTGAACAGCAGACATTTTTCCAGAAGAAATTTGAACGCCTATAGTGGTAATGGATGCAGATTCCTGTTCTTCGTATGTCTGTGATTCTTTCCTGTGTGTTGTAAGGTTTGTATGCATAGAATGTGAGAAGAAAAGAAAAAGAACTTACAATTGAGTGGCCAACAAGTTCCATTTGTGAATTTGGATCCACGTGTTCACCCAATGCAGGAACCACTGACGACGAAACGCTTTTGATATGTTGGTTTTCACTTCCATTATTCCCATCTGAGTAAAACGAAACTCACATTAACACGTAAGTCTATAGCAGTCGACTGAACATATGAAAGAAGATAGAATGCTATAAATGTTATAGGGAAAGATGTGAAGCAGACGTAGTCCATAGTCGTGATGATAATTATTTATCCACCAGATAACTAAGTTCACATGAAATTTCCCGTGGGATATGATAATTTAAAAAAAGTAACTACCAGGCTGTAATCCTACTGTTGTCCGCAATTCTTTGTGGAAGTTGGCACCACCACCGTCCAGCCTAGCGTTAGGTTGTGCCTGCATTGCTCCATTCATGACCATACTATTACTGTGATCCACCAAAGATGATGCTGAACCATTCCCCCCTCCACGCCACCAAGGTTGGGAGTAGATAGGTTGCAACACAGTCTGAGCACCATGTTTTATATGCGGATCTTCATCTTTAGATTTGGCTGGCATCATTCACCACTTTCTCCTGAGAAGAATATAAGCATGGGTTTAACAAATATAACAAAAGTAAGGAAGATGAGGACAGAAACCAAAAGAAAGTACTGATCAACTGTCATGGCAGAAAGGAAACGACAACTCCTACAATTCATAAATCCACTTGGGGCACATTCAAGAAATCATATCTGAAGCAAGAAACCAAAACCGCTGACATTCAGTAATTGAAAAATACATAAATGGATCACAAAATAATTCAGCAAAACAACTCGAACAGAATGGTAAAGATTGATGTTCCATTTAAATCATATTATTCCTAGTTGATAAGCTTTTTAAGAAATTTCTTGAGGACAAAGCTAGGCATAAGTACATCAATCAAATGTTGTAACAGCCGGAGGCGTCTCCCAAAAATGTCAACTCCAATTCACATTTGGATTCCTAAGCGTCACTTGCACACTGTAGATCTTCCTACTGCATACCCAATGTGATTCAGGGGATTCACAATCCTCCCTACTTCACAGATATCATGATTCTCCCTCTGGGTATCACAACCTCCCTTCTTTGGCATTGGCACTTGCACCAGGAAGAAAACCACATGCATAACAATTGGTGGGTCTTTGTGAATTGAGATGTAACCATTTACTTCCCATGAACAACAGTTCAATCCACATGGTTAGAAGTTGTTCCCTCTGAACTTAACCCAACC